AGATGACAAGCCTCTTAACTGACATCCTGCCCCTCTTAGTCACCAGTCATGTGAAGTGGGGTCCTTTTTCATCTTCTCCAGTCCCATATATAATGGAGAAAATTATACATAATCCGTGTGAAGAAAAAAGAAAAAGACCCAGAGCAGATGTCTCCTAAAGTCCCTAATAACTCAGAGATAACACCTGTTTATTTTTATTTAAGATTTCATTTATTTATTTATTTATTTGTAAGAGTCAGAGAGAGAGAGAGAACAAGCAGAGGGAGCAGCCGCCAGAGGCAGAGGGAAAAGCCCAATGCAGGACTCAATCCCAAAACCCTGGGATCATGACCTGAGCCAAAGGCAGATGCTTAACTGACTGAGCCACCCAGGGGTCCCTGAGATAACATCTGTCTAATAGTAATGTTGCCTGTGAACCTCGGGTCAGATCTTAGATTGCTATTTCAAGTGACTCTCAGACAGAGGATGAAGATCTGAGGTAGTCTAAGCTTGTCCCTCATCCAGCTTTCAGAATCAGTGGATATCACTGTAATTCCGAAGTGATCAAAAAGACCCACCATCTTGGAAAACAGTTTTGTGCAGTGTTAGTTGATGCCTTCTTACTGGAATGCATTTTAAATGTACAGACGTTCTGACCTGGAAAGCCCTCTTCAAGGATTTATCCAAAAAGGGGAACTAGTTCATTTAGAGCACAAAATTCTATGTCCTAGGATATGCAATAAATGCAGCTGTCTGTCGATAGGGACTTACTAAGTAAAATATATGGAGACTTCCAACTTTCTCTTCAGCATATAGCTGAACCATCAACATCCTTACAAGAAGAAGCTGAACAAAGGGAAAATGAATGAATTTTCTTGAACCTCTGAAGGAATTGAAGTTGCTGGGTGGCTTGTCACTGTGAAATCTAGGGATACAGACAAATCTTGAAAGTCACAGCCTAGATCTTCTTTACGTGGAACAGAAGCCACTGGAGCCATAACTGGAAGAAACACTTAAATAGTAGTTTGGACAAATTGCTGAGTGTGGACTAGCGTGAGAATGAGAAGCTCCCTAGTTTCTAGAGTCACTGGAGGCCCCCCAGAGTGTTAGGAGCCGTACCTACAGGAGGAATATCATTAACTTGTCATTGTAAAGCTCCGTTCATTCCTCTGGCTGGGGAAGGGGAAGAATAATCATTGTGAAATATGCACAGAGACTTCACTTTAGTAAAGATCTCTTCTCTGGGGGAAATGACCAGATCAGAGCCCCGTGCCTGCTGCATAAAGGGCATTTCTCCCTCTCCAACCCCGTCTCTGTTTCCTACCTCACTGATGAGAGAGAAATAAAGAAGAAAGTCAAGGTTTCAAGGAAATAGATTGGGAAAACTAAGGCCAGGAAGGACAGTAGAGGGTAGGAGGTTTAAAAAATGTTTTATTTTTTTTTCACACTGGAGAAACACATGTGGCAGTCCCAGTCCAGAGACATAGACCCACTAAAAGACTGAGATCTAATCATAATATTTTAAGTTTCCTGTGTAATAATGGTGAATTACAACTCAAAGAGGTGCTAGATCTTGAACCCATTTATGGAGTTTTTAAGGGAAGCCCTAAGACAACAGGAAATCCAAAAATAAGGAAACTACAGGAATTTGATTCCTTTGGCGCTTACAGCTACAGCAAATGTTAAACACATCCCAACTTCTAACCAGATTAACATAAAACCTCACACCAAAGACTTATTCACCAGAGATCCTATTACCCAATGCAACATGTCCAGCTTCCAGCAGAACGTTACAAGAGATGCTAAACTGACAGGGAAAAAAAAAAATACAGTTTTAGAGGCAAAGTAAAAAGTAGAGTCAGACTCAGACACAACACACATTTTAGAATTATCGAACAATTTAAAGTAAAAATGATTAATATGTTAAGGGCTCTAATGGAAAAGGCAGACATGACGTAGTATCAAATGGATAATGTAAGCAGAGAGAAGAAAGCTCTCAGAAAGAATTAAAAGGAAAGGTTAGGAATCCAAAGCACTATAACAGAAATGAAGACTGTCTCCAATGGGCTCATGAGCAGACGGGACCCTGCTGAGGAAAGAATCCATGAGCTTGAAGAGGAGTAATAGAAACTTGCTGGATTAAAACACAGCGAGAAAAAAGGTGGGGGGTGGGTAACATAACAGAACCTCTGAGACTGTGGCACAATTACAAAAGGTGTAATATATGTGCAATTGAAATCTCATCAGGAGAAGAAATACTGAAACGACTATGGCTAAAGAATTTTCCAAAATCAAATAAAACAGGTGACAGCATATTGTGAAGGAAGTAGGAATCATGACTCAGATCTATATTTTTTGCATAAAAGGCTGTATTATTGACTATAAGCAGGTTATGAAATGAAATGGTTTGTGTATACACAGGTGTACACATGTAATAAAGAATTTCTGGAAGACTCTTTACTGAAATATAATGGTCAGATCTGTTGAGGTTTTTCCTTTCTTCCTTGGGCTTTTCTAGACTTGAGTCTGTTTTCACAAAGAATGTGTCCTGTATTATGATAATCAGAATAAATGTTTTCACTTGAAAAAAAGTTTTTCCCTTTATGTTTTTCAAGATTTATTTATTTATTTGAGAGAGAGAGAGAGAGAGAGCGCGCGCACACATGCATGAATGGCAGAGGGGTAGAAGGAGAGACTCTCCATCAGACTCCCTCCTGAGCAGGGAGCCTGAGGAGGGCTGAGAGGGAGGCCTGAACTAAAACCCAAAACTTGATGCTTAACTGACTGAGCCACCCAGGCACCCGTTTTCCCTTTTAAATAATGAAGGTGCAACTTCCCAGTTTGAAGTCAGGGAGCATGCGGTGTTTGGCTTCCCCACCCAAGGCAGCCCCCAATGGTGTTGGGTGCCTCTCACCACAACAGTCTCTAAGCTGACAACCCAAGAAAATCTTAAGTCAAAGGAGTTTGCAGCCTACAGTGTTCACAAGCACAAAACCCATCACAGCCCAGTGGAGCTGAAGACTCCAGACTTCAGCAACTCAACATGTCCTCACCTCAGGCCGAGGCACGACAGACTGGCCGCCCCAGCAAGGGCTTGCCTACATGGCCGTTGGCCAGCCAGCTGCCCTATCCACTCCTGAGAGCCCGCAAGGCAGAATGGCCTGGGAGCTGGGAGCCCATGCCGAAGGGGACAATTCACAATGAACTTGAAACACTTTCTGTGCTTATCTGGGGCCCTCACCTCCTCTGAGCATTTGGGGTAAAATGTTTCCTAGATGTCCGTGGAGAACGTGACTGAGCCAGATGGCCTCCCTGCAGGGTGATGCAAGACGTCCCCTTGTATGGTGTGCACCCAACCCCCACCACTGGGGCAGGAGGTCTTGGAGAGGATGGGACCTCCTGTGGCCCTCAGAGCTGGACTCCGGCGCTTAGAAGCTCCCTCATCCCTCCTTTGTCCTAGAAAGGACCTAGAAAGTATGTTCTGCTCACCTTTCCCACACTGAGAGCGGTTCCAAAGGCTCTGCCTGGAGAGAGTATGGTTGGAACCCTCTGTATGGTCTACCTCAGAGGTGGAAACTCTAAGAAAGAATCCAGTTAACCTAGTTAAGTCCTCTATATAAACTGGGAAGATTCTAGGACCGTATAGAGATGTACTTGGCCTGTGGCTACCCCCAAGAAAAGCCTCAGCTCTTCTGCTTTTTAGAGCCCCCCCTCAGCCCCCATTCCTCCCACCACTCTCCCATCCCCCCATTCCTCCCCCACCACCCCCACCCCACCCCCACCCTCCAGCAATCCAGAGCAGCCTGCCTCTTTCTTCCAGCCCTCTGCACCCTCTGCATACAGGACCCTCCCCCACCAAGTTCCAAATGCCCTTGTCGCTGTCCCCCTTAGGCCCTGCTGCACATAGGCACACTGACTCTCAGTCTGCCACAGTACTGAGAACAACCTGGATGGGTCTTAAAACCATGGCTCTGAGCAAAAGAGAAAGGACATATTTTTAGAAATTGAGAACACATCCACGCCACACAATACAAGTTTTATAAGAAGACATGCCAACCAAAAGATACATATTAAATATGTGAAATAGTCGCCTATGGAGATAGTAGGGGTGGGGGACACAAAAGGGACAAATGGGAATGTTAGAAATTAAAACATAGGGGTGCCTGGGTGGCTCAGTGGGTTAAAGCCTCTGCCTTCGGCTCAGGTCATGATCTCAGGGTCCTGGGATTGAGCCCCATATCAGGCTCTCTGCTCAGCGGGGAGCCTGCTTACCCCTCTCTCTCTGCCTGCCTCTCTGCCTGCTTGTGATCTCTCTCTGTCAAATAAGTAAATAAAAGCTTTAAAAAAAAAAAAAAGAAAAGAAAAGAAATTAAGACATAAGAATAAAGCACCCTTACTCCTCAGGTCTCAACTTCTCTCCCTACTCGGATGCACCGTTGTCCAGAGCCTTCCTAGCTATTTTGTGCCCCTTCTCCTTCTATGGGAGAGGACCTTCTATGGAAGGGGACTTCCCATAGTCCCCTTCTCCTCCTCAGAGACTCTCCATACCCACAGCAATTTCTTCATCCACTCACTTCGTACACATCCTCCTTTTCTCTCTCGGGTTCACATGCCTCATTTCTCAGTCTCTGGCCTCTTCAACTGTTTCTGGAACCTCCCCCTCCCCCCCACAGCCACCACCACCCTCACAGACAGATACTCCCACTAACAAGAAACTGCTGAAACAGAAAACTAACCAAACTCCTCCAGAAGGCCTTGACTTTGTTTGCCTGCCTTCTTTCTCTTTTCTCTCTTCCACCTTCTTTTCTTTTCTCTCCCCTGTGTCACGGACTGGGAAATTTTCTCCCTGAGGTCCTGCCCTAGGAGATCTGGGACTTGTCCAAAGTAAAGGCAATAACCACTCCAGGACCCCCCTCCCCCCTGGAGCTCCTGCCCTTCCATCCTAAACTCAAAGTCCAGCTGGCCCATGAGCAGTTGGAGCCCTTCCTCAGACCTGCTTCGCCAGGGGCTCGCTCAGCCCTTCCTCAGACCTGCTTCGCCAGGGGCTCGCTCTCTGCCTGGGAGGGATGACTCCAGCCTGGAGACACCTGCTGAGAGCTTGGTACCTGCAGACCTCCTCTTCCAGGATCCCCAAGATGTGCCCTTCCTTGAGCGGTGAGTGGAAACCAGGGGCACGTGGGTCAGCTGAGTGTTGGCCAGAAGGGTCTGGGCTGAGCTCAGAACCTGTTGCCTGGGGCTCTGGGATTAAGCCTGCCGTGGGGGCTTGGAGAGAGGCCATCTCACACAGCGGTCCTCACCCTGCAGATCCATTGCCCTGTTCGAGCCCAATATTTTGCTACACCCCCACCCTGCCCCTTGCCTGAACGGAAATCCACGGATAATAAAACCCAACGATGCACAATTTCCAAATGAAAACAATGTGGTAACTTAGCTGTATTATAAAGGAGAAATAAAAGGAAAGCCATTCATGATTAACTGTTAACTGCAATAAAGAGATACTCAAGGTCGATGACTTTGGAAGGCATTAAGCCTCCTCATGAAGCCCCCGCCATGCCCGCAGGAGGTGGTACCATCACCTCAAGCAATGACAAGGAAACAGACTCAGAGGAGTGCAGCCATTTCCTCAGAGACAACCAAGAGCTAGGACTTAGACCCTGAGCCCTCTCTTTCCACTCAGACTCTCTCTCCAGCGGGGACACAAAGTGTGAGAAGACCCGGGGCCACCAGCCATTGGTGGCTTTATGTATTCTCTCTTCCGTGCTCGTGATTTTCCCTGAACCTCACCTCCTCCGCAATTCCCCTCACGGAACGTGAGTGTAAGCAGCTGTCTGCAGGTTTCCGTGTGCTCACAGGCCCGAATCAGGTACAGGAAATCCTCTTCCATCCCCCATTATGATCAATGTGATCTTCATTTTCTCATCTTTCCCTTTTCTCTCTTTTTCCTTCGTCTCCTATTTGCTTTATATCTTCCCAACAGTTGCTCTTCTTTCAAATTTAATACTGCTCATGCTTTAGAGGATTATTCTTTCATCTTTAACCCAAACTTACTAGTGAGTATTATTAATCCATTTCACAGCTGAGGAGACAGAAGAGTAAAAGCAATTAAGAAAGTTGGTCAAAGAGAGAAACACAGAAGTGACAACTTGCCATCTAAACCCAGTCTGGCTCTAAGTCAGAATGATTCCACCAGGCCCCTCCTTCCCTATACTTCTTCCAACCCTATTTGGGCTTCTCTTTTCCTCAATCATGGGATTTTGCCAGAATATCATTTAACCCTGTCATTTTCTGAGAAGGAGCTATAATTATACCCAGAGTCTTATGCTCCATAAGGAGGATACTACGTTGCAAGTACCAGCTGCTGACGAAGCAGGAGAGAGCGCCCTCTCTGTCCCCCTTCCCCTTTCCTAGCCTAACCCCTGACCCTTGCGGAGCTGGGCTGATGCTGGTAGAGGTGAAGCTTGCAGGTGAAATCTTCTTGATCAAGTCCTGGGGATTCCTTACCATAGCTGCACCGAGAAACTACGGAGGGAAAGTCCTCTTGCAAACTTAGGTCACAGAGACATGAACGCCATGCCATGCTCTACCTGCCCTTTCAAGAAACTCTGGGCCTTTATTTCTACTTTCTGACCTATTGTACCTAGATACACGCCTGCTTGGGTTTGTTCATTCCAACACACACTCATTGGCCACTCCCTTCTTAGGAACACACTCTGTGCAAGATACACATGCAAGCAAAGTATCTGAGTGCCTACTAGGGACCCACATGTGAAAAGAGCCACTGCAGGGCAAAAAGCCATGGTTTTGTTTTGTATCCCAGTAGGGGAGACAGAGCACAAACCAACAGATAAATATATAGAAAACACCCAGTAGAGATACACGTGATGAATAAAACCAAATTAGGGTGGGAAGATAGAAAATTAAAATGGGAGAGGAGGGAGGCAGAGTCTGGTTTAGATGGGGAGATCACCAGGTGTTAAGTGTGGCCAGGCAGGCGAAAATAAATATGTCACCATCCTTGTAAAACACCTGCATATAGTCTGTATGATATATGTGCGGGTCAAGGACTCAGCCTTGCCTATGTCTGATATGCACGGGCACTTGGGGCTAAACATGTGCACAGAGTTATAGGAGAAACTTGTTTCAAGATAAAAGAAGAGAAAACATATCTCCGAGGTGCCTTCTTCCTTACTAATGATAGTCGTTAAGTGTATATCGTCTCTAGGGAGATGGGCTGTGTGCTTGAAAGTACCATTTTCCCATGTCTGCCTACTTTGCCACAAGGAAGGGTGTGCCAGAGGGCAGATGGATGGCAAATGGTGCCCATTTCCAGCTGAGAAACTTCCCAAGACTCCTGCAAAGTCTTTTCCAAGAGAAGTATTAAAATGAGCCCTAAAGGGAGGTCTCCCGCCCCCCGGCAGTCCTTGCTGCCATCTGCAGAATTGACTGAACCCCTGAAAAGGTCCAGGAGGGGCAGGCCTGCTCCCAAAAGTGCCAAGAGGAGGGATGGACCCACCAGCCTTGGATTCGGGCAGACCTCTTGCTTGTGGACACCAGCAACCACCCTGCCTCGCTTAAGGAAAAGACCCCGATGGGAAAGATATGGAGGTAGGAAACCGAAAGAATCAGTGGGAGGGTGAGGAGGTGGGCAGGAGTGGATGTGAAGAGACATCAGGAGGGCCTAGCAGGGATAGCATCCCTCCTTGCAGGAACAGCCTCGGAAGCAGGTCTTGGTTCTGATGAGGGCCTGCAGCCATTCCCCCCAATGGGGGGCATCTGCTCAAGACGCCACATCTTAAAGAGGGGACACCTTGTTCATCCTTTGGAGGTCTTGTGCCCACCCCCTGGCCTCACTGGTGGGAGGCAGGCACCTGTTGTGAGTATCCTGTCACTGAGAGCACACAGTTCAGAGGGACCTAGTGCTCTAGCTCAATGCCAAGTGTACCCTGTAACTTCCTGCAGAACGTGGAACAGTTTACTAAGGAAAAGGATCCCCTCTTGGGTCTGGAAGCAGACGACATAACGTTTCTCCCCCGCCAACCATGGCCCTGCATTCATCCAGACTTCAACATGGTCTCAACACGCTTCTATGGGAGACAGCTTCTCTAGCCCTCAGCCCTACCAAAGTCTCTCAAAACTGCAAATGTCGCTTATGCAATCTGTCCCTCCCTTGGCCCTTAGGTGAATAAGATCTTCCTTTCTTAATTCATTGGCTATCCTACGAAAATGAGATATCTTGAGGGACAAATTTCTTGGTTTTGGGGGTTTTTTTTAGATTTTTATCTATTTATTTGACAGAGAGAGGCACAGCGAGAGAGGGAACACAAGCGGGGGGAGTGGGAGAGGGAGAAGCAGGCTTCCCACTGAGCAGGGAAGCGGATGTGGGGCTCGATTCCAGGACCCTAGGATCCTGTCCTGAGCCAAAGGCAGACGTTTAACGACTGAGCCACCCAGGTGCTCCGAGTGACAAGTTTTTTTAAAGTTACCTAATATGCTATGCAGAAATAAGTCATAGTTAGCATTTTAATAAATCACCTTAATGTTCTGCAAACTATGTTCATTGTGTATTACAAAATAATTTATACCTTTTTTTAATTTGAAAAGGTAGGAAGATCTTATTAAATACCCACTGCACTGAAAATTGGTTATGAATGTTAGAAAACTCTTTCTCATTAAAGAGAGAATTTCTGCCCAGAATTTTCAAATGCCCACAAAAATTGATCTCCCTCCCTTATCTTGCCCCAACAGATTTTCACTGTTTGATACTATGATCGTAGTATTTTGATACTTTGGGGAAAGACAACCAAGTTAATGTGACTTTGTAGTGGAACTCTGTGAGAATTAAGTAGCTGGAAAATTAAACCCAACTAGCCATTTATAATTTGCATTTCTTATACAATGGCAGTAGTGTTCTCCAAAGAGAATTCCACCTTTAAATGTCTTGGATTGTCCAGGTGAACTGGAGAGAAAATTGGTGAATTGGATGAAAATCATTAACTGTCATCAGTATTTAGCATCAGGCCTAAAAGGGCAACATGAGATCAGTTATAACAACAAAGAAGCCCAAAAAAATGCCTATACAGAAATAGATCAATTCCATTGCAATTCCATTTTATGACCCCAGATTTCAGTTTTCCCTTCCCCCACCTCTCTTGGGTCTGTCTCCCCACCCCCCACCACACACACATAGCCCCCATGTGTGTATGTGCTCACCCACAATCTCCCAGAACCCGGAAGTTTATTAACCCTCAACTCTTGTGTCATCCTCAAAACAGAGGCTATTTTGAACAAAGAATGCAGGCAAATATCCAGATATTTAGACTTTGCTTTTTTTTTCTAGCAAATAATGAAAACCAAATAAAGAAAAGCCTTTGTTTCTTTATGTCCATCAGCTATTATCATTACTACTAGTTTTGAGTTGGAGTTGTTTGGTGAGAGAGGAGCTATGAAAGGCAATAGACTTATGTGCTGTTACCTAGATTGACTTCACTATTGACTAATTCCTTTCCTCCTTGCTTCTTTCCTCCTTTCCAAATATTCCTTCCTCCCTTCCTTCTTTTCTCCCTTCCTTCCTTCCTTTCTCTCCTTCCTCCTTCCCACTTTCTCTCTTTCCTTCCATCCTTCTTTTTCCCCTCCTCCTTCCCACTTTCCCTCCTTCCCTCCTTTCCTCCCTCCCTTCCTCCTATCTTCCTTCCTTCCCCCTTCCCACTTACCTTCTCTCTTCCCTCCGTTCCTTCCTTCCTTTTTTTCCTTCCTTCCTTCCTTCCTTCTTTTCTTCTTTCCTTCTCCTTCCCACTCACCCTCCTTCCCTCTTCCTTCCTTTTTCTTTCCTCCTTCCCGCTTTCCCTCCTTCCCTCTCTTCCCCTTCCTTCCTTCCTTCCTTCTCCCTTCCCACTTTCCTTCCTCCCTTCTTCCCTTTCTTTCTTCTTCCCTTCCTTCCTTCCTTCCAACAGGATTTTATGTATTTCATTTGGATCCCTCACTCCACTATCACATTCCTATCAGTCTGGTGAAAAAAGAACTGAAAAAAAAAAAAAAAACTGAATAAACCTGCCTTGACTGTTTGAAATTTGGGCTCTTCTTTATCAAATCCTTCTCCCCAACTCTGCCCCACCCCCAACTAACTTTCATAATCCCTATAGCTTCAGAGTCAAGAGAACTTAGAGTCTTCTCAATGGGCAGCTCCAATTGTGCAGGTAGGAAAAAAGGACTGAAAGAGTGAAGGGAATTTGAATTCCTGGAAACACTCAGAATATTTTTTTCCATTTCAAAAGAGTAACTAATGCAGAGATACACAATGAAAAGCTTTTCAAAAGGTGAAATTCTCAGAAAACTTAAACTGTTATTTTTTTTTCTCATTTTAATACATGGATAGCCTAAAGTCTCTTGTTTTTAAGGTAAGAGCAAATTAATGACATTAGTGATTAGAGGACAAAAGTGAATGAGATCTCTTGGAAGAAAAACATATTCAGAGCTGTTACTTTCCAGATTCATTTAAAAACACAAATGTTCATTGTGTTGCTCAGGACTGTGACTTCATCACTACACAAAACACCAACATCTCATCTATGGATTCAAACCTTCATGCTAAATAAGAGGCATAATTTTCTCAGCTCTCTCCACCTGTAGAAAGATTTTGATACTGACACTGAATCTTCAAAATTAGCAGTATTCTTTTCTAAGAGTACTTACAAGGTCTCTAGACATCTCTTCCAAACTATGATATTCTGTAACTCCGTTATCCCATCCCACTGCTAACGACAGGTCAAAACCTGTGCTGGAAAGGAGAGGTGAAGGTGGCCAATGAATGAGAAAAAGAGAAGTAGGCTGGGAGCAAGATATTTGGAGTTTCATTCTTGTTCTGCCTCTACCTAGCTTGGTGAACTTAAGCAAATTAATTTTCTACTGGTTTCCTCATCTATAAAGTTAGCATTTTAACAACAACAACAAAAATCTGAGGCCCCTTCTAGCTCCAAATATTAAGTGATTCCCCAGGCTCACCTTATCTTCGCTTTGCCATGGTCTGGTCTTGTGTTGTCATGGTCTTTGTGTTGGGTTTTGGAGGATGGTTTTTGTCTTCTGGACCTATTTATGTGTATTTGTTATTATACTACATTGCCTAACACCTATCTCTCCTCATTCTCTACAAGGATAGTCAACAGCCACTCATGCCTTGTTTATTGAAGTCCAATCTGGTATCAGGAACTGAGATTGGCACCAGGATGTGGGCACTATGCCACTCAAAGCTTAGAAAGTGCCTCTATTATAAAGAAGATCTATTCCAGGAATGCACAGAAGTTTGGTGGACAGTAGAGAGAAATGTCATCCCTTGTGCAGGGTGTGGAAGAGCTCATGAGGGACCACAGTGGGAAAAAAGTGGACTCCCCCCAAATATCCTCCATGCTTTTGTGGACTAGATTTGAAAGAAACTCTCCTTTTCTTCCTCCCAATAACTTGTTGAGATACCTCAGTTTTTAAATCCAAACCAAATGTCGATTTGAATTATTCTTTTAAACTAAGGAATAAATGAAGTTGCCTACAGATCTTGGTTCAGATTGTGTACACATACAAGTGATTTTTCCAAACAGGCATGTTTGAGGTTTAATTGAGGACCCTAACTCACTTCACCTTTAATAGGTGCTTTCCGGACATCTGTGACCAAGCTTGGTCTTCATACAAAACACAGAATGCCTCCCTGTGACTTCACACCTGAAAAATACCAGGTAAGAGTCAGAATTTTAGGAAAACCCAAGGAAGTGGTTCTTCTTGAACGGGCTAAATTAATTGTTTTCTCGAGAAAGACAGACAGATGGCCCTGCCTGCTACTGAGCCCTCACATCTTAGATATTCTATCCCTTAAGTCACTGGAAGGGTCTGAACGCTCTTACTCCATTCAGTGATGTTGTGTGAATTGTGCATGTGCGGGACACAGCAGAGACAGACCAAGACTACAAGAAGGAGACTATTTCTATTTGTCACAGGGATATAAATATAGATAGAGACACACAAAGACATATATCACAAAGGTGATTCTACACATTTGCTTTCTAAAATGTTGTTTTGAGGGGCGCCTGGGTGGCTCAGTCCTTAAGCATCTACCTTCGGCTCAGGTCATGATCCCAGGGTCCGGGGATCAAGCCCCACTTCGGGGTGTGGGAAGCCTGCTTCTCCCTCTCCCATTCCCCCTGCTTGTGTGTCCTCTCTTGCTGTCTCTCTGACCAATAAATAAATTTAAAAATCTTTTAAAAAGTAAAAAATTTAAAAATAAGTAAAATGTTGTTTTGACTCTCATACAGCAATGTGTGTTCTGACCTTCAGGAGTCCTTCCATCCAAAATATAAAATTATAATTTTGCTTTCAGACTAAGAAATATTGGGCTTCTCTTTCTTTCTCTCTCCCTCCCTCCCTCTTTCCCTAATTTCCTCTTTCCCTCTCTCTGTCCCTTCCTCCCTTTCTTCCTTTCCATCCACTTTATTCTATATAATACTCATAGGTTAGAAATTGTAGAGTCAATAGTCAGGAGATACCCATAAAGAAGAGAAGGATAGGAGAAAGTTTGGTAAAGACATGAACACCACCAGCACTTCACTTTCTTTTCACTCAAAAAGAAAAGAAAAAAAAAAAAAAAACTGGGCCCCTGGGTGGCTCAGATGGTTAAGCATCTGCCTTCAGCTCGAGTCATGATCCCAGGGTCTTGGGATTAAGTCCTTCATCGGGCTCCCTGCTCAGCTGGGTATCTGCTTCTCTCTCTGCCTCTGCTTCCCTCTCTCTCTCTCTGTCTCTCATGAATAAATAAATAAAACCTTAAAAAAAAACTGCAGGAAAAAAAGGAAGGAAGGGAGAAAGAAAGAGAGAGAGAGAGAAAGGGAGGAAGGAAGGAAGGGAGAAAGGGAGGGAGGGAGGGAGGAACATTACCACAGACATTTACTTCTAAAATCCTTATATTTTTTCCTACAGCTAACATGAATTCAAAGACACTGAAAGGTAGAAAATTTCAGGTAGAAAAGGTAGAAAATGTCAGCCTCCTTCTTCATATTTGATCTAGAAAGTGATCAAAGGGCCACATTAATAATTTCCTGTACTGGAGAGGAAGGAAGGACCTTGGGCAAGGAGGACATGGGGCAAATACCCCCAGGTGTGGGCACAGGATGGCAGCCTATGCTCGGTCAGCATAGAGGCGAGACGCTGCATTAGGCCCTGCTGTTGATCTTGTAAGAAATGTGAAGGTGAGGGAAAAAGAGATCTTAAATCCTTAAATCTTGCCTATCTACAGTCCCTCGCCTATGAACGTGTCCTGGAGATCCACAGTCAACACCTCGCTCCCATGTCGACGGCGTATTTCCCGAAGCCTTTGTTGCTTCACCAGGGTCACATGGAATGGCTGTTTGATTACGAGGGAAACAGATACCTGGATTTCTTTTCTGGGATTGTCACTGTCAGTGTCGGTCACTGCCACCCGTGAGTATCCTTAAAATTCTGGCATTTTCACTCCCGAAGAATATATGGAGACCAGGCTAGTGATCACGTTAGTGATTCAGGACTCTGGTTACGAATTCTCTCTCCTTAGGCATATCTGGTTTATGGCCACCGTGCTCCCTATTTCCTGGGTAACAAAAAAATCTTAACACTGCCCTTTTTGTTTTCTCAACAATGCAAGATTTATTCATTCTCATGCCATGAGGCGTGTACCACGTGATTGGAGTGTGGTTGTGTATGTGTGTACTTGTCCTCACTAGTGACAGCTTTCCAGAGAGAGGCAAAGTACTGAGGAAAAGGCAAGCAGTTCTCGTAAACCCATGGGGAGGCTGGGTGTCAGGTGTGGAATGATAAATCGAGAAATCACTTCTAGCCTAAGGATCTTCCTCACCTCTGACTGTTGGATGGATGGATGAGGAAAGAAAGGATGCTAAGAGAGGAGTAATCAGAGCTGGAAATTTACATTAGAAATGCATGGATCTGTTAATCCTGGGGTTCTCTGGACCCTCGTTATCAACCCACCCACACAAATACCCTGGGCAGGTTCTTCTATGGTTCTTTTATTTTTGATGCCACTCTCTCATTTTCCTGCCTATTCGCTCTTGCCTTTAATCATCCATCCAACAAAGCTTACTTCAAGTAAGACCAGAATATAGCAGCAAACCAAAATCGACTGAGTAAGTTTGGGTCCTTCTGTCAAAGTAGGAGTGAAGATCTTCCCCTCCAGCAGCTGTCAGGTGGGAGGAGCGAGTTTTACCTCCAGGGTCTAGGCTCACCTCTTCCTCCCACAGCCGTCTCCTTCCTGCTTCTGTCTCTGGGAGGCACTCATCCCATGTGAGGTCCAAAGGAGCTTGTAAAATAAAATTCAAAGGCAGTCTAAAATATGTGATAAGCACACATGAAAGAAGGAAAGATAAACAAAGGAGAGAAAAAATTTGATTTCATTAATAATGTTAGATGTTGTCCCTGTGAGTCGACCACTCAATGGTGTTCATGACCTTTGTGCTTCTCCTGATCTCGCTCTGACCCTGCAGCTTGCCCTTTGACCCCCTGACCCTTTCCTTAGCCTTCTGCTCTTCTCTCTATAACCTCCTTATGCCTTATTATTTCCCCCATAGAATGGGGCCATTCCTGGTCAGTGAGTGACCTCTCCACAGCCTTTCCCAGCTCTGTCTCTTCAACTTGACCCCTCACCAAGCTACTATTATAACTCCAATAAACCCAGAGTGGGCATTAGGATGCCCCACATTTCCCACAGCATCTAGGACATCCCCACCCCTCTCCATGATAGTCCACCATCAGCTGAAGTTCAGCCTTACTGAGGCCAAACCCCTCATACCCTCCACTATACTGTTTCTACTTGCATATTCATTTATTCAAGGAGCACACATGAGCCTCACAATCTGCAAAGGTCCTCTGCCAGGAGCTGGCAGCCACTGGCTACATCTCTTGACTAATCCTGGAGTTTCCCTGACGTTACAGGCAAGAATGGTGAGGTCATCTTTGACTCGTCCTTGCCTTTCACTCCCCTTAGCCCACCTGATTCCAAGGTCTAGCTTTCCCTCTGCTGAAATGCCTCTCCCACCGGCCCCCCACTAATTCCCACTAATTCCCCCACTAATACCCACAGGTACCCCACTAATTCCCGGCCTCCTAGGAGTTTTCCTCCTCCCACACCTGGAAGGCCACCTTGCCCTCCTGGCTGACCTCACCATTACCAGCCTTCCCCTATCTATCCTACCTTCATATGGCTCACATGTTTATTTTGTTGAACAACACTTTTATCAATTACCTCTTCTGTTTAAGAGTTTATTGATACTCTGCAATTTTCTAAAGAGAGTTGTGGAACCCCGATTTCAGGAGAGGTCAGTTGGTAAAGCATCCCATGAAAAAATAAGCTTTAAAAACACTTTAAACTATATCTCCCTCCTGGAAAGAAACAGTGGGTATTTGGCTAACAAAGGCACTGGCAAGTCCTACAGTAAAGAAATCTGTCTGATCTGGTACTTCTCAAATTATTCTTTTTTTTTTTAATTCTTCATTATTTATTTATTTATTTAGCCCCGAACTTGCGTGTGTGTGTGTGTATGTGTGAACAACTATTACTAACAGATAGAACTGGTGTGTTAACTCTAGCCATTGCTGTCCTTTAGATCAAGTTCAAACATCCTGGCCTATCTCTTCAAGGTATTCCTAGTCAGGTCCTACATACCCTCAACATGAGCCCTCTGATCCTTGACAGAGTATAGTTTCAGAGTCACAAAATGTCCATCAACATTGACCACTGTTAGGAATCAGATACTTGACTCTCCTTTGAAGAAAGAAATGTGGTCCTTATATACACATGCATGATGGATCTATAACTCTTTAGAAGAGTAAATGAAAAGACACTCAGTCTTACACCTAGTCATCTCTAGTTTCCAAACTGTTCAAAGGATATTTAATAAGAAAACCTAATTAAAAAAGAGTCTATGTCCTGAAGTAGGAATTTCTCTTCTACAATCCCTGCAAGATTGTCATCTGGTCTCCTTTGGAACACCTCCCTTGGTGAAGAATCCACAACATTTCAAGACCACCCATCCCATTGCCAGATAGCTCTACTGGTTAACCAGCTCTGCTGGTTAAAGTTCTTCCCATGTGTGGATGAAACCAGCCTCTTGAAACTATTTGAGAAGTAGCCCCATGTTTGGGCTCAATGGCCAGTGTGTGCATGTTGGGGGGAACATGGCCACCAGCAGCATGGGGAACTCTGCTCTCCTGTTGCTCCAGGAAGGTGAACGCAGTGGCGCAAAAGCAGCTGGGCCGCCTGTGGCACACAAGTTCCCTCTTCTTCCACTCTCCAATCCACGAGTTCGCAGAGAAGCTTTCGGCACTTCTTCCTGAGCCTCTAAAGGTACGATGCTCTTCAAAGGAACAGGAGTCTCATGATCCCAGGGAAGCAGGAATATGAACAGCGAATCTGGTCCATGCTTTGAGCATCTGAAATAGTGAACTAATAGCCATATCTGAAAGGGATCAAGAAGACAGGGACTTAAGAATCGCTGGTGAAGCCAGCCAATGTTCACACATCACCTCCCAGCCTCTGCCTGTCCTTGGCCATGGGTCTGCAAAAGTCGCTTCACAGAAGCCCAGCCCTCCTCCCTGGACACTCTCCTTTGTGTTCCTGGGGGTTGGGAGAGTTCCTTCTCTTGGCTCCAGGGCCCCTCTACAAAGTCATTTTCATGGCTCATTTTACAGAGTGGAGCCATTTTTTACTAAAATTAAATCCCATTCAGTCCATTCAACCTAGGAGGCACTGAGATAGTTTTGCTAAATGAGATGTTTTTCTGCATCCAAAATGACTGAATAGGTCTCTTTTTAACTGAACTGAGATGTTGAAGTGTTGGCCAAGATTTGCATTTCCAGATTCACTGAACTAATATATGTCGTACCTAGAACAGTACCCAGCACCCAGGGTTGGTTTTTAGGATTATTTTCTGTATTCTCTAGATTCTCTATTTACTATAGAGCTGAAGAAAGCTGGACCAGCTGCAACCTAAGTGCAGCCCAGTCATGTTCATGGAGAAGCAGAAGTAGGGATATCAACAGGGGCACAGGGCCTGAGCCCGGAGGACCCAGGTGCCCTCACTTCTCCCTTCTCTTCTAACCAGGAGGAGCTGCACTTTTTCTTCATTTGCTTGTTTTTTCAATATTCACACACACTGAATAGACAGGCTAGGACATCCGTGGGGCTACAGAGTCAAGGGGCCTGCCTTGTCCCAGCCTTCAAAACTCAGGTGGTTGAAGTTCAAGAGCTAAACGATACAGTCCTCAGACGCACTCACCCATTAACCATTCCATACCCTGCCTCAGGTCTCCCTATCTTGGCATTTTGCAGAACATTGATGAGAGCCAGTGAAACCTTGGAATGTTTCACAATCGGGATGATCCCTTGGCCATTTTTGTATCTCTAGCAATTGGCAGCTTGTTCAGTGAAAAGCTGTAGAGTTAACATAGTAATCCGGGGATGGGACTGCTTGTCTACAGGGAACTCACCTTAATAATTAGAGGCTGGGACACACAGTCTTTAGCAATTTCAGATTAATTGGGTAAAAAGGAAATAAATGAACGTATGATGTCACGTGTCTTCTGTTTCCCTCCAGGTCATTTTCTTGGTGAATAGTGGTTCAGAGGCCAATGATCTAGCCATGCTGATGGCCAGAGCACACTCAAACAGCACAGACATTATTTCCTTCAGGTAACCACGCCCTGAAATATTCAACCTCAATAGCATTGACTTACTCCAGTACTAAATGGGCATCTTTAAAACATAGCCTGGAGGGGAAGGGGGCTTTCCCAGGAGTATTGTTCTAATTTTACATGTTAGGGAAGAATCAGTCCAGTGAATTTTATGACTGGATAAACCCATCTAAACTGGCCTGATCCAAGTTAGGAGCCCCTAAGTTAGGGGTCCCTGACTGGGGTAACAAACAGCTTGGAGTACTAGTTATGTCACAGATCTTCCTATAAATTTAAAGAGATAGTCATATGTCAGTTTTTTGTTTTGTTTTGTTTTTTATTTTGAAGGTATGGTATTGACCAGGACAAATGCCGAGTAGTGAATGACTGGTCAACACCCACAGATGCTCATGGCTTTAACTTTATTCTCTTTAAGTGCAGAGGATGCATATTTAACCTGTATATTTCTCCTTCTTTGGGTGACTTTTGAAAACTGATAATTTAATAACTTCATTATAAACCCTTGGCGTTTAAATAATAGAAAATTAAGCATTTTGTTTGCAGTTGTGTCTTCTGGGTAATTTTATATAGCACATTGAAATAGGATCTTATAATAAGGTTTATGTCAAAGAGCAGCTTATACTCAAAGTAGGTGGAATGAAGAGGTAGTCCTGGTCTGTCACCTGTCTGGCCATAATTTCTGTCTCCATTCAAAAGAAGATTGAATACCACAGCATGTCCAATACTGCATAATCCGTATAAAACGCACATGTAGTAACGAAGGAAACATTTGTTAACAAAGAAACACGGCAAGAAAAAAAAAGTGATTGATGTTTTACCCAAATAAACATCCCAGAATATACATGTCCAGATAAGTGTTGATCTATTCAAAACAGTCATGTGTTACTGGGGTTCAACACACGTTCATGTCTCCTCCTTCAAGATAGATGACCATCCTTTTGAATGGTCTTAATAGTTGTAAATCCTCGTGTCAGGGTGACTTTGATTTAGGGAACCATCAAAACCCCTTTGAGCCAAGACTGGTGATGAGGATGATATGGACAAAATATGATAGTCTTGGGTTCAAAAAGAAACAAAACCTGTGATCTTTATACGCCAAATAAAGTGGCTTTTGAGGCATTTGTGCAGCAACCACATCTCAGGAACTAGTACTTGGCTTCTCAAGGTGACTACATTGAAGACTAATGCTCATTGGCTATCTAATCTCTGGCATGTTGCTGAAAGATGGGTCTCATTACTGTAGAGGAATCCAGTAGGGCATCAGTTAAGGTCAGAGTTCCTGCCCAGATGTTCTCCAAAGCTTCCTTTCACCATTTCAAATCTCTGACCCCAGGAGAAAAGACAAATAAGTAAATTCTCCTGGCAGAGCCTTTGAAGATTTCTTAGAAATCACTGGAGTTGCACGTCAATGGTGTTCTACTGAATTGAAGAAAAATGAACTTAACCCCATCTTCTGACTGTTTCTTCTCTGTAGAGGAGGCTACCATGGGTGCAGTCCTTACACACTTGGCCTGTCCAACGTAGGGCCCTACAAGATGGAGCTCCCCAGTGGGACGGGCTGCCAATCAGTGAGTTCTGGGATTTTTATCTTGTTTCTCGAAAGTCTGCTGGGTAGGTGCTATGATTGATCAGATTGTCCAGGTATTAGGATTCGAAATGAATATAAAGCCTATCATTAATCAGGGGCTGAATTTGACTTAGTGGAACCAAAGCCCACTTGGAGGAAATGTTTATTAGAAAGGCCTTCAGAGTCTGAGTAATAATTAGTGATAGAGATTTTTAAAGTTTGTTTTGCTTTTAAACAAAATCAAGTAAACTACCAATAAATACATTGAAACTAGTTCTCAGAGCCTTGAGTGCCTAAGATTTCTATAGAACCATCATCCCTGTACTCACCTTCTGTCCTCACTTGCTATATATACCCACCTCAGCAGAAGACTCAGATACCTAATTATTCCTATTCTTTCAGATGCCCTTACTCTCCAAACTCTTGAGCGAGTTCTTTCCAGGCTGACACTGAAATCAGTTTCCTTTGTAAAGTGCCCACATAACTGATTTCTAAGAAAAAAATTATCTTTTCCAACCAAAATATTAGAGTTTCATCCAAGGTGGGAGAGGAGCAAGGGAGGCATCTCAATATCAAACTAAGAAGCCCTCTTACCCTGATGGCATCACATTCTCCTTCAAATTGGCTACCTTGTCTTCCCAGTTTGCCAAATTCCTTCTTTTGTCACTTGCAGACAATGTGCCCAGATGTTTTCCGTGGCCCTTGGGGAGGAAGCCACTGTCGAGATTCTCCGGTGCAAACAATTAGGAAATGCAGCTGTGCACCAGGTTCAAGGGGTCAGGGAGGGAGGTGGGTGGTGGAAGGTCAGGAGGGGCAAGGAAACTAGAGAAAGGCTGTACCATTCCTAAGTGAACAGATTGGAAAAAAAAAAATGGAAACGGGAGGAGTCAAGGAAACAAAACTAGAAACCCACCCCACCCCACCCCCACCCCCATAGAATCAGCATTTCCCATGCCTCCCACCACGGTGCTGTCTGGCTGTGAGGAAAAGCATCTCACACTATCATAGCTGGGCTAAACAGACAATCACTTGGTGCTTAATTAAAGGGGTTCTTTTAGCTCTATTAGCAACAGCTCTTCTATCAATTTTAAAAGAAAATAAGGCTGGTAGAATTGTTTACCAATTCCCAGTGGGGAAGGGTGGGGGAGAATACTTTTTGCAATCTCTTGAAATGCCAGACAGGAAGCGCACCACCCCACCCCCAGGGATTCAGAGTGCCAGCCAAAATGACAGCATCTGTCAAAGCATAAGGCCATTCCCAAAGGCTGCTGATGTCTCTTGCAAGTTTTAAAGGCGTTCTCAAAAGGAAAGCTGTCACTTACCCATGGCGGTTTTAGTGACATTCTTTACCTATTCTTATCCTGAGAGGAGGCTCGGAAGCAGACTCTCTTCTTTGCTAATCAACAGGTCTCCCCTGGTGCCTGTCGGCACAGTTCAAGACTTTTCAATAGCTGCTTCTAAGTAGTGCTGAAAGAAAGAGCTAAATGCTTCTGCGGAAGGTATTTGACGAAATAGTCTGGCTCACGGGGTTGAGAAAAAGAATGCAAATGGAAGTCTTAAAAAAATGAGCTTTGAAAGGAAGAAAAATCCCTGTCTCCTTAAAGTTCAGATGGGATAATGGCAAAATGGAGGTTGGAGGATGAAAGAATGAGCATTGAAACAGGATGCTGTGGTCCCAGAACTGAAAACTGTAAGGAGACTTAAAACTGTGTGTGTGTGTGTGTGTGTGTGTGTGTGTGTGTGTGTGTGTGTATCTATCTATCTATCTATCTATAGATAGATAGATAGATAGATACCCTCCATTTTAAAAATGAAAAAACCAAGGCCCACAGTGGGGAGGCTGGGGAGCTAGGACTTCACCCTAAGCCTTCTGACTCGAAACCAGTGCTCCCAGCCTATGGCCATCTTTGTTCACACTAACATTCCAGCAGGATGAACCCAGGCTTGACAATAATTCCCATTCTGCTGGCCAGACTTAGGAGACCCGTGAAGTCAGCAGACCAGGAGTCCACTCCCAGCCCCGGCTGGTTCAGCTATGAGCAAAGGCTCCACCGATTGTGTCTTTTTTCTCATTTGGAAGATGGAGATAGCAGCACCTGTATCTGTCTCTCATTACTAGGCTTCATGAGATCAAGGGAAGAGAGCTTTCTGTACAGGGAGGCAGATAATAGCAATGTCAAGTGTACCCATAGAGCCAGACCTGTGGATCCAACCTAAATGGCATCAAGAACTACAATTGGTTTCATGTACCTCATGGACTTCAACCCAACCACAAAACCATGAGCATGGAACCTAGCAGGCAGAAGTGCTCAAGAGATAGCTCTTGCCTTCCCTCCCCACACTGGGTCCCTCTCCCTTTCCATCCCCTCCACCTCCTCCTTCTTTGAGGCTTTCTGCCAACTTGAAAATGCTAGAACCCCATGGTCATCTCTCTAGTGGCATTTGGAGGCTAAATGATAGTGACAGAATCCATTTCTGCTTCTCTGGACTGTCGTCTTTGGCATATCTGAAGTCAGCTGTTTTCTTAACTCATATCTTCAAGAGACACCGCTGATATATATTTAAATAGACTAGGAATACAAAAAAGGACTTCAGCCTCCTCCAGGGCTTTGGGGAGCTGAGAAGTGTTTGGTCCTTGTTGTAAAAAGGCAGATTCATAGGTTTGCAGAAGTAAGCCAACGTATAAAATAGTTTGAGTATAGAAGATTCCGGTTCTCAATTCCTCTTAGGGTTTGTTCACTGGGCACATACAGGTGCCAATCTTGGTAGAAGTTCTTTCATCTCAGGATTATGTCCTCACGGTCCACATGGGCATAAGCAGGGTCCATGTTGTGAGCCTGATCTAGTCGCTGCTGTGGGAGACTTCATTACCTTCCTCTATCCTTTTGTCAGGATTTTGTCTTTCCAAGTGTTCATTCCAGACCCTGAACTTCAGATGTCACCCATGATGACATTCACTCCTAAAGTCCACAGCCCCTGGAAACCCCAGACTTTGGACCTATCATGTCATTCTTCCCCACCTTTTGCAAAATGAGTTTCCTTTTCCTTAAGAATTGTTCTTTCTTGGCCTTTCACTCCATTTAACGGTTTCTACCCTAGCAGCTAAAGTGAAAACAATTTCGTCTCTACTCTGTTGCTCGTGTGGTCTCCAGGAGAACATCCACTCTTTACACCCTTGTTGTTGTCATGGTGATGCCATTGCACCCCATCCCTCTCCAAAAGCAGCCTGACCTGGAGTTACAGCAATGAGCTCAGGAAGGAAATGTGAAATGTGAAATGAAATAAGAAGCTGATTACAGCAGGTGACCCCTCTCATCACTGAACTTGTGGGCAGTGGGGGACAAATCATGAAAGGTCTATCACCAGTTTAAGCAAAACCTTGTCTCGGGTTGGTTTTGTCCAAATGTAAGCCATTAGGGTTGATTTTGCTCCACCTTCTGATCTCTCTCTTTATAGCTCAGCTTACTAAATGTCCAAATTGTATCTTTTGAACATATGTTCCATCCTTTAGAGTCATCTTTGACTGTTTTCTCTTCCTTTCTAAGAATTTAAAAATTCATTCTCTAGAGGCATAGGTTTATTTGTCTAGCATATCCTGTTCATCAGACAACTTCAGCGATGACAAAAAATGTGCTTTCTGGGCTTGATTCCCTTTCCATTACTTCCTTCTTTGCACTTCCAGCCCCCAATTCCAACTAACCAAAGATGTCAGGTACCCTGGTTGAGCCAGCTCTCCCAAATACCACATGTACCTTAAAATATGTTTGGGACCAGGGAGTGTTCTTTCCCATTTTTAAATGAAGAGCTGAAGTATAAAATATAATTTGTGCCTCCGTGTTGATGATGATGACGGAAGTCTTCTGTCCCTTTTCTCTAGACGTCAGGAGATAAGACAACCTCCCCGCATCTCAGTGAGTGCTGGGATGGCAGGTGGTGGCTCTCCTCCCAGATTGCTTTCACTGTCACTGGGGCTGGGGCTCTGCCACGTCCACACCTCCCTCTGCACCCTTCTGCTGTCCATGGATACGGGCTGTGTGGTGCTGTTTAGAATCAAATTAGAGACATGGATAAAATTTCTGAAGTTTCAGTCGTGTATGGATGCAGTCGCTCTGGGAAAGGCTTCCTGCCCCCTGTCACCATGGGTGAACATTATCGGACTCCAGTACTTTCCTCTTTAGACCAGATTCTAATTGTTCTATAAACATATTTATTAACTCTAAAGACCGAGACACTCTATAGCTTTAAAACGGTACATCCGATTAAGGGGCAATAAAAGGTAAATAGAGTTATTTTCAAATAGATGAAATCCATGCTCCAACTACATTTGAATTAAATCTGCCCATTGAGAGGATAGGCATCCTTGGGTGCAATAGCTCTGTATTCCAGACTCAGTGATACCTTGGGACGTCAGATGGAAGTGACTGAAGTGGTTCTTGTATGTTTTTATGGCTCTCCTCCTCTCGCTGCTCAAACTAAAGTGCAAGTTGTTGCAAAAGAATGTCCCCCCTTCAGAATGCTATGCCCTCATTTCCTGTTTACTGCATTCTAAGGTTTCTAATCAATCTACTCATCCTCTTTTTTTTCTGTTTCCCCCCATTCTACTGAATGCCATTCTCACATCTTCAAATGCTATGTTTTGTGTGTTTGTTGGTTGGTGGTTCTTGTTTTTTTGCAGACTGCTGCCAAGCGAAAGACCACTATATTGAACAGTTCAAAGATACTCTGAACACTTCTGTGGCCAAATCAATTGCTGGATTTTTTGCAGAGCCAATTCAAGTGGGTATATTGACCTTAGACATCAATTGGGCTGACTTTTAAATTATCAAAGAGTTTTAACTCAGACATTCTAGAGAATTCGAAAATATTTAAGTGACCATTGCTGTGTCCCTCTCCTAATTCAATTCATTCTCTTGGTCTCCTTGAAAAAAAGAGGGCCCCTGATTCTCTACTGACCTTCAAACACTCCTGCATTCCTGGGTTGAACAGATAGATGAAACTACTGAATTCCTAAAATTCTGAAGAAAGGGAAACCCCAGCAAATTTTAGTTGTTTAATACCCATACTGCCAGGGGGAGTATCTCTTCAATTTTACCAAATCCCCTTCATCCACCTTATATCTAATCTCAGAAATAAGCATTTGCTTCGTTTTCCCCAAAGGAATGGCATAGAGTAATGGTCCCTCTCTTCACCCACAGTTGGAGCAGTTCTAAAGACCATTTTAAAAATTTCTAGTATTACTAATACTACTGATGATAATGATCTAGCTTCTTTTTTTTTTCCTTAATAGTTTCAAAGGACTATGCTGTTCTTAGAGGACACCCAGGTTTGGTCTTTTGCAGGGGGTAAATGGAGTCGTCCAGTATCCAAAGGGGTTTCTACAGGAAGCCTTCGAGTTGGTGCGGGAGCAGGGAGGCGTGTGCATCGCAGATGAGGTGAGCTGTGGACCGGCTGTGGGTAGGGAGCCAGGGCAGGAAAGGCACAGGGAGAAACTTCTTCAAACCTCCCTCCGAAATCCAAGACAAAAGTATCTCCTGTGGGAATTCCAGGGTGAGGGTATGAATTAATGAAGCCTTTGCTAGTTGACTGGTTGGTTAGTGGCTTATTTGGTCCATTTAACAAGCACAACAGAACTTAAATATCCAAATTGGAGTCTATCAAATGAGTGGCTAGTGGGCACTTTCTACGTTCTCATGTGGGGACTGTGTCAGGGGTAGTTCAAAAACCACACAGGAAATTTAATTTCATAACCAAGTTTTCATCCTAATTTTTCCAAAATAGTATTAACCAGCCTGGCAGCATTCATCTTACCTTAATTAAAAAAAAAAAAAAAAAAAAAAAAAAAAAAAAACTTGTTTGGAAAAGATATTAAAAGAAAAAAAAATGCATGGGGCACCTGGGTGGCTCAGTTGATTAAGCATCTGACCCTTTATTTTGACTCAGGTCACCATCTTAGCCTCATGAGATCAAGCCCCAGCTCGGGCTCTGTGCTGGGCATGGAGCCTGCTTAAGATTCTCTCTTGCTCTCCCTCTGCCCCTCCTCCCACAAAAGAAAAAAAAAATGCAGCCTCTAAGAAAGGAGAGGGCCACCGTTCCAGATATTTAAAAACTAGTTCCAAAAAAATTCTAAAATAGCTGAAGTTAAGGTATCATTGGAGGAATAAGCATACAGTAGCACCAAGGCGACACTCCAAAGGGAACAAAATTCACCAACTCTGCAAGCGTTAGCTTGTGTCTTTTTTAAAGGTAACAATTTTATCATAATCACACCTCATATTAGGGTATATCAAAGACAGTAGTCTTTTGTCTGCCGAGAATAGCAGCAGAGGTCAAAGGACCAGAGGATGGTCCCCAGGACCACAGAGAGCCCCTGGCTCATTCCTGGGTAACAGTCATGATTCTACAAACAAGCACTTCCACCCACCAAGAACAGGTGGGCACTTGTGACTATGTTTCCCACCTGTTTCAGTCCTGCTGTCTTCCACCTGAACATTTTTCCTCAACTAAACATTCCCTATGGCAGTCTTTGGGCTGTCCCCTCTGCAAATTTTTTTGGTAATTTCCTCATGTGCAGCCAGGTTTTTTATAACCCCAGGTGGCCGGGATGGCCCCCCAGAGTGCTGCACACATACACATGGCCAACCCACCGCACACCCCCTTCCCCGACCTGCTACTGGGAGTTTAGGGAATGCAAACCAAACATAGTCCTGAAGAAAGTTAACTGCTATTAAAAAAAAAGAAGAAGAAGAAGATTAACAATTTGCTACATCAGCAAGAGAATCAGTTTTAACCTTTGGAATCAGCACTTAGTGAAGCTGCCACAGTTGGGCTAACAATGAGAGAAAGTAGATTGAATTTTAAAAATATATGACTTTCTGGGGCGCCTGGGTGGCTCAGTTGGTTGAGCAACTGCCTTCGGCTCAGGTCATGATCCTGGAGTCCTGGGATCGAGTCCCACATCGGACTCCCTGCTCGGCGGGGAGTCTGCTTCTCCCACTGATCTCTCTCTCCTCTCATGCTCTCTCTCTCTCTCTCTCTCTCTCAAATAAATAAATAAAAAAAAATCATTTAAAAAAAATATATGATTTTCAGAATTTTCTTTTTTTTTTAATTTTATTTATTTATTTGACAAACAGAGATCACAAGTAGTCAGAGAGGCAGGTAGGGAGAGAGAGGAGGAAGCAGGCTCTCTGTGAAGCAGAGAGCCCGACGTGGGGCTCGATCCCAGGACTCTGGGATCATGACCCGAGCTGAAGGCAGAGGCTTTAACCCACTGAGCCACCCAGGTGCCCCGACTTTCAGAATTTTCTAAGATGGGTGTTTTTATCACTGTTTTTTTAAAGATTTATTTATTAATTTGAGAGAGAGTGAGTGAGGGCATGAGTGTGGGGGAGGGGCTGAGGGAGAGAGAGAATCTCAAGTAGACTCCCTGTTGAGAATGGAGCTCCACACGGGCTCAAACCTAGGACCCCAAGATCACAAACCCAGCTGAAACCAAGAGTCAGCGGGCCAACTGACTCAGCCAGCTGGTGCCCCGGTTTTATCAGGCAGCAGCCATACCGGCCCCAATCCCCTCCCTATAACTACAGCTTCTCCCCTGCTGCCTTACCCACTGGAGATCCTTATTAAAGATGGCTAACCAGAATGTTCCTTTCATGTGCATTACTTATCTGACCCTCACAGCAGCCCTGTGATGTATTGCTATTACTATTTCTACTTAACAGAGTTAACATAGGTTCAGAGGACTTCAGAAATATGTCCAAAATCCCACGAAGCTAGTAAACGGGATCTGGTAACTGAAAGCTCAGACACAGATTAAGTGTTGTGTCCATGATCCTACAAAGATGGTGATGCTGATGACTGGCAGCGATGATACAGAAGAGGAAGAGGAGAAGAGGGAAGTGATCAAAGTCAGAAAAGCCATCATTTCTTGAAAGGTTTCCAATGGTTTGGCGTTTATTTTCACCAGGTGCAGACAGGATTTGGAAGACTGGGCTCTCACTTCTGGGGCTTCCAAACCCATGGCATCCTGCCAGACGTTGTCACCATGGCTAAAGGGATTGGGAATGGCTTTCCCATGGCAGCAGTTGTAACAACCCCAGGTAGGGCCAACAGGGAAGTTCCATTTTCTTCTGGGTCTCTCCCATCAGCGATGGTAGAAAACAGGTGTTTCAGAACTTGTGTGTGTTGAAGACAGTGGTGGGAGCTCTACGTGCATTTCTGAAGCGATAATAAAGAGAGACAGTCTGCCAGATGGTGGAAGAGATGGAAGAAAGCCAGTCCTTTTTGCTCTTGCTGTAAGCAAATTAATTCTCCCACGCCCACAATGCAAGGCAGGTTCTCACACTCCAACAAGGTATAGGAAATTGTGCCACAAAAACAAAACCCACACAAGAGACTCCTTTTAACCAACCTGAAGATAACTGTGAGATTTCCAAGGGAATCATGTTTTGAGGGAGACTCTTCCTTGGGCTTGCTATTCCCCTATGTTATAAACTCAGGGTCCAGAGTGCACAGTTTTCTCTGTTTCTGTCTCATCAACAAAACAGCCGAATATAATACATCTCATTTAGTCAGAATATTCTATAAAATGAACATAAGAATAAACCCTATTTTCAGTTTTAGTGAGGTTTTACAGAAAATTATTTTTATGAACCATTTATCATTAAAAGTCTTTAAACCATTTTGCTCTTCCCACCAGTAGGAAGCACACTTTAGATATACTAGAGGATAATTAAGTGCTCTGATATTTCAGTGTTTTTATTGAATGAATAAAGCTCCCTCTGCTCTCCACACAACAGGCCAATAATTTGAGAGGCGAGATCGGGGGCACAAAAACCAGCAAACTGAGGAGATGGCAGATTGTCATCCTAAGGAATGTCTCCCCTGGGCAGGAAGTCTAAACTCCTTGTTTGTTAGCAAAAGGGGGAAGCATGAAGGGGTTGGAGACAAAGGTGACCCATGTCTGTAGACATCTGAGAAAGGTCTTGTAACTTCTTTGTCCTTGGTCAGTTGCTCTTTGTCTACAGGTATCTGGTGGTGTCGTGTAAATCTTTTTTTTTTTTTAAGATTTTTATTTATTTATTTCAAAGAGAGGGAGAGAGAACACAGAGGAAGAAATAGAAGCAGACTCCCCTCTGAGCAGAGAGCCTGATGCTGGGCTCCATTCCAGGACCTTGAGATCATGACCTGAGCCAAAGGCAGAGGCTTAGCCCACTGAGCCACCCAGGTGCCCCTCGTTCCTGTAAATCTTAAACATAACATTGGTATTTCTGTTTGTACTTCCTTATCTCCTCAAGTGATGTAGGTTTCAGGTAAAAAAACAAACAAACAAAAAAACTAGTTTATGCAAATCTCAGCTATAAGCAAAATTCCTTCAGTAATTAGCGTATCTACATGCAGGGTGAAGCAGAAGTTTCTAAACTATAGGTCACAACAACAAGGGAAAATGAAGCAATATGTAATCAGACATGCTGTGTTTCTACCTGTTACAGATATTAAAATGTGGATGTAGAAAGTAAAGTATAATGAACCAAATATATGCTCACCCAGAAACAATCCAGAAATAATGTTACAAAATCCTTGGTGTTGTTTTAAAAAAGAAAAAGTTTTCCTTCTTAGTCCCAAGAGTATAATATAGAAAGAAAGGCTAATAATGAAGATTCCATGTAAATTCTCATAAATCAAACATTAAGGTACTTTTCAACTCACACAACACATTACAGATTTTGTTATCACACTTCTCATGGGGTGAATAAGCAATTTTTCCCAATCCACTGGACACGTGGATCAGTCAGCTAGGGCTACCATATCAAGACACCATACGCTGGGTGGCTTAAACAGCAGATATTTATTTCCTCATAGTTCTGGAAGCTGGAATCCAAGATCAAGGGGCCATCAAAGTTGATTTCTGGTGAGATCTCTCTCACCGATGGCCAACTTCTTGCTGTGTCCTTACATGTCCTTTTCCTCAGAGAGAGAGAGAGAGAGCTCTAGTGTCTCTTTCTCTTCTTAGAAAGACACCACTGCTGTAAAGCCCCCACCCTTGTGACTTCATTTAACCTTAATTACTTCACTAAAGGCCCCATCTCCAAATATATCCACATTGTCAACATCTGAAGAGGGGCCAGTAGGATGGGGAGACACGTAATTCCACCTATAACCTCCACTCTCTGGTGAAGGAAGAATGCGTTGGATATGATGCCATGAAATACATTATTAATACAACCCAAAAGTCAATATAATTCAAATGGTGTGATGGGAGATTATAGATAGGAACGTCTCACTCTCTACTCAGCTTTTATCTTCTCCTCCTAGAGATTGCCAAGTCTCTGGCTACACGTCTTTTTCACTTCAACACCTTTGGAGGAAACCCCATGGCCTGTGCCATTGGGTCAGCTGTGCTCGAGGTATGTTCCAACAGCCACATCAACATCTCTCATTTCACAGAATGGCTACTTCAAAACCACACACACACACACACACACACACTATCCGACCTCTGTCACATCATATTACTCAGGTGAAGAGGTAATTACCAATCCATGCATTTAAGTTCAATTTCCAGTGATTATTCTGCCCCTTCACTCCTTTTTAAAGTTCTACTTTGGGTGCTTGAAGTATGAGATACAAAATAATTCATAATCAACTTCATATGCATAGGAAATAGAAGAAAAGGTCACTAGCTGAGAGCACTGAAATTTCTCTTTTATTTGAGTGCTATGTAATGGATAGTCACCAACTGCTATCCTTGAATTCGGGTTAATTTTGGCCTGGCCTTTATTGTCTTCCTTCCTTTGGTGGTACAGTCATAAAGAGAAACTGCGTTCATCGGGACCAATGAGATAATTCAGCTGTTGTTCAGACCCTGTCCCTCAATTTCCCTGATGTCTCCTCTGGTAAATGCCCTTGCTAATGTGCATAATAAGAGCATTTGCTTAAGTACGTGCAGGGTATCACTGGAAGAATGCCCAAGAAACGACTCTCTGTGGTTGTTTGTGGGGAGGGAGACTTGGTGTTTGGGGGATGGGAGTCAGCGAGGACTGCTGTACTGCATACACTTTCATACATTCTGATTTTTGAACAAGGCACATGACTCACCGATTTAAAAATTTTGAGTATATTTAAATAAAAATTCCCTTGCTGATTAAAAAGTTTCTTCAAATAGGATAAAATCACAAAATGAAAAGTTGGGGGAGGAGTGTTTCATTTGCTTCATTCAATAGACATTGCCAACTTTTTGTTTAAGTGTTGCGTCCCCGCGACCCGGTAGAGAGGATTTAGGTGAATAAGAAGGACTTAAGTCATGTAATTCTTATCAGCTAAATATAAATGTGGTATATTGTGTGTAGGAGATAAAAATCACAGGTGTCTCCCAGGAGTGGAAGTAGGTGAAAATTTTTTCGTATCTTCAGGGCCCTGACTCTGGGCCCACACAGGGCTTCAGTCAGTCTGTCAGGCCACTGCCCTGTAGTGGGACACTCAAGCAATGATAGTGTGTGCCTGGCTGAGGGCCACTCTTCAGAGGCCAGTAAGCTCCCAGTAGCGTGAGAATCTGTGACAGGTCTCCCCTCAGAGCACTGTCTTCCCCACGACTGTATCCTACTTCTCAGCCAGGCCAGGTAATAATGAACCTCAGGATAATGGTGTCAGCGTTACAGACTGCGTGGAGACATGTCTTTACTCTTTCCTATATTTTTAATCACCCCTGAAGATGAGGAGGGTTTGGGGACCATATCTGCTATACCAAGCCTCTTTTTTCTCCTTACAGCAAAGCTCTTTGTTGTACAGGACCTGGTTCCATTAGACTTTCAGTTCCAAGCATTTGGTCAAGTTTCTATAAAAAAGGTCGTACACATTTATCTCTCAATGCTTCTCAGTCAATATTAGAATTTTTTTTTTTTTTAATGCAAGGCCATTTGCGACTTTCTCTAAACAGGTGATTAAAGAAGAAAAGCTACAGGAAAATAGTCATGATGTTGGCACCTACATGCTACAGAAGTTTGCTGAGCTGCGTGATGAGTTTGAGATTGTCGGAGATGTCCGAGGCAAAGGCCTCATGATAGGAATAGAAATGGTGAAGGACAAGGTAGGTTCTGATCTGCTGTGCTCCGTGTGACTTCTTGGGGTTGGGAAGAATTAAAGTAAGAAGCGTGAGCCACAAGGTCACTTCATTCATTCTCAGGGAGAGCACACAATGCCAGCGAGCTCAGCGAAGCTCAGCAAAGACAAGTGGGGAGTGCCAAAAGCCAGCAGGTCAAGAGTCCTAGAAGAGTGAGGTAGGGCATTTGGAACAGGGAGCTGGTATTTTTCCTGCCGCTCAAGGCAAAGAATATTGGTGACAACTGAATATTTAGAATTAGACATATGGATATGGAGAAGGGAGAAAGTTATTTGGGGAACGGCTGGTGGCCCAGAAAGCTCATGGAAGTGAGGGAGAAGGCCAGGAGAGAGTTGTGAGGATGTTTTGGGGTGAGGACATTAAGGATCTACAGGATTTTGAATTTTTCTGTTTGTGAATATTTTTCAATCTCCAAGTAACCAGGCAGGGTGTGACTTTCTGATGACATTTCCCACTGTGACCTCAAACTCAGAATGACAACAATTGAACTTGGCTTTTTCCTCCAAACCAGTTATTCCTCCAAGTTCGCGGTTTCTGTTTCTCACCCTTCACTCTTCTCCCAATTACCCAGCCTCCAAACCAGAAAATAACTTGAAAATCCTTCACTCCTTGTTTCTAGTGTCAAGTCCTGTGGATCTTTTCTTTGCCAAGTCTCTCAAATCCTTCCCTGTGTCTCCATGGCTGTCCCTGCAGCCTATGTCCCTCCCCTTCATAAAAGCAAAGCCTAGACCCACTGAGGAGAGCAACAGGGGGAGAATCTTGGCACCAGGCTGACAAAGTCAGACTAACTAACCCCTTCACCCTAACTCTTGTCCAACTTTCTCTTAAGCAGCTTCTTGCTATTTATCTTAACACGGCATCCTAGTTGAGGAGGGTTGATGCTCAATTATTTTAGGACTCAGACAAGACTATGGATATAAGACTCTTCCTTTAACGCCACACAGCAGATCCAGTACAAAACTGGAATGTTTAAACAGGATTTTAAAGCTAAGGGAAGAAAACAACAAAATATGAGTAACATGAGACTAGGCCTTCTGGCTCATAAGCCACAAGTACTTATCTTCAGCTTATGGTCCAATCAAGAGCTGTTTTAAGGCTCAGAAGAGTCCATCCTAGTCCCCAACACAGGAGCTCCCCCAAAGAATCCATGCTTTAAAGTCCAGACACCACAGAGGAAAACCCAACGAGAGAGAAAGTGTTCCTGTCTTTCCCGCTGTTCCAAACCCAGTTTCTGTGTACTCAGAGACACACAAACCCAGAGACACGCGAACAAAATGTTCACCAGGACTTCATCATTCATGATTAAACCTCAGCATCCTCCACATGGCCACTGATACAGGACAAAGCCAAACTATGGTACATCCATCCCACAATGGCAGAGTTACATGTTCAATGAGAAAGGTATGCAAACTGTGTGACGGAAAAAATAAAACAGGCTATCAAATAGTATCTACTGAATGAGCTCTGCCATTTGGTAGTATTAAGCATAGCCTCCGAAGGCTGACCACTCAGCTTTACATCCCAGCTTGTCCATTCCTTAGTCCCATTCAACATCCATTCAATGCCATTCACTCCCCTACATCCAATGCCGCTCAAACTTTTCCCCAGCCATGGACCACAGTACTCTCCGGTCTGTATCTACCTGTGGAGTCCTAGCCTTCTTCCAGGTCTAACTCTTCATCATACCTCCTCCCTAGCTTGTTTGTGTCTCCCCTAGACAGAGACTCCAGGCCTCAGAGAAGCCCCCTAGCACCCATTCCCTAAAAAGCTCCTCTGAAAAGATGTTTCAAAACCATGTATTTGTTGATTCAGGTTTCATATAGAAATATTTTACTTACCTAAATAAGTTATACACTTTTGAGGCCAGAAATCATGCAGATGGTAAGTACTTTAAAAGTGTGTGTTGACTGAGTTCAGGTCCCTGCAACAATTCAGACCATGTTCGCATAATTACGACAGCTCAGAACTTGCCTATAACACTGTCCGCCATAACCCAGAATTGAAACTCCCATTTGCTGTTAGTGAGGACATGTACTGGTACAGCCCTTTACATCACAATTTGCCTGCATCTATCAACATTTTAAATGTATGCATTTGACCTAGCGATTCCACTTCTAAAAATATGCCCGAAATAAATACTGATAGAAGTCTGAAAGATATAGATGAGCAGGGATGTTTGTGGCATTGTTTATAATGATAAAAAATTGGAAACAACAAAAATATCCAACAACAGATGATTAAACAAATTACCAACAAACTGTGAAATATCTGGTAACCTTTAAGAAGATGAGGTCCAGTTGGGGAGGTATGTGCTACAGTGAGTGCTGTGAAGTGTGTAAACCTGGCGATTCACAGACCTGTACCCTTGTGACTAATAATACATTATATGTTAAAAAAAATTAAAAATTAAATTTTATAAAAAGAAGATGAGGTCCAAATACAATGACATGTGAAGATGTCTAAGATAGACTGTAAATTGTTATAACCAAATTGAAAAACATTATATTTTAGTAGGACTCATTTTTCTAAGTATGCATATAGATGAATTTGCACAATAGAAAAAGTGTCTGGTTCACATGAAATTATCAACAAGGGGTAAACCTAGGAGTAAGACTGGGGGAGAAAAAACTTTCCACTTCATGCACCTCCATTTCAGTTTAAGGTTTTTTCTCGATAACTATGGATTATTTTATTTAACTGCAGATCTATTGGGCGGGGACAAGAAAAATGTAAACATGAAGGGACACTTACACACCCACCAAGGGGTCAGTTAGAACTTCCCCACTCGATTATCAAGTAGCTGGGACACAGGCTTGAGCACAGGGCCTGAGCAGCTGTCCTGGGGCTGTCCCTCAGAGTTTTCTGCCCTGTTCTTCTCTGTGGAATGCATACAAGATGTTCAACGAGTCACAGCAATTGAGGCTAGGGGATGATAAAATGGGCAAGGGAGCAGAGTGGGTGCTGGCCCAGTCCAGAGTGAAGCCAGGCTCCACCTGTGCAGACCCTCACTCTCCAGCAAGACCCCACCAATTCAACTTTCCCTAGGGAAACCTTTCCAGAGGGTGCTGAATGCCCTCTGACCTCTCACTATCTCCACACCATATCTGACCACTTGACGGCTCTCACAGTTTACCTCAATTATTTTGTCATATTTCAGTCTTCCCCGTCTACTTGAAGAGAATGTCAAGGGCAAGCAGGAATGCATGATGACATTTTACGATCAGTGAGAAGATCCTGGTCTCATCCCCCATCCCAGGTCCTCATCATCTTGCAATCTGAAAGTCTGAATTTTATTTTCCTTATCTCAAAGCTTTAAGACAGACAACAACGCAAACATCTCTGGGAGGTCCAGTCTTATTCTGTGCTGAGACACTGAGATCTAAGCAGGAAGGAAGGGTTGGGGCATGAGTTGGGGGAGGGGAATGGATATTGAAGCCTTGAGGGAGAGTGAGGGAGAGTAGGTAGGAAACCCTGAGAAGGACAAAGCTGGGACCCCTAGAGGGGGTCCTCCTGTGTCCCACAAGGATGACAGGGGCTGGCCCAGGAGCCAGGATCATGCCTCCCTCTACATGTGAACCAGAGAGCCAGACCTGTGTTGATGCTACCACAGCCACGTGCCACAGAAGACAGACCCTTGCTCAAGACAGGATCACAGCAGCAATTCCCACACAGGCACCTGCCAGGCATTTCACCAATCCAGATGCCCTGGCCTGCCCCAGGCCTTCTCATTCCATAGGCCGAGCGTGAGCCCCAAATGTCTGTAGTTTGGAAAGGCTTCCGGGAGGTGCACACACACAGCCAGACTTGAAATGACTAAGACAGAGGGAGGCGTCTGTACTCAGGCTCGGAAGACAGGAGACACACAGAAAAGGCGCCGGCCCCCAGCCCAGTGGGCACCAAAAGGGAAGTGGCATGTCTGGACCCCCCAGGGAGAGACAACCTCCAATGCCTGATAACCTGAAACAGCCTCTGACCAGCCCCCTACTCCCCCACCCTTCCACCCTCATTCCACCCCCACCCCTCAGCCAAGGGCTTACTTTTCCTAACCCTGGAGGATTAAGTCTTGGGGAAGAAAGAGCAAATTCCACAAGCCAAGGAGATGAGGAGGGCCGGCACCACCCCAGCTGCCCTAGCCACGCTATGGCCCAGGGAAACCCTGGATCATTCATGCCCTTGTGTAACTTTGGAACCATTTCCTGGACTTTGAAATGAGCCCTTTACATGAGCAAAACAAACTGAACAGTTGAGAATTACCACATCAATAAAGCCGACTCCAAATTTGGCTAAGAAAGAAGCAAATTCCCAGGATAGCCATTGGCAGAGCCAAGATTCACTGGCTATCTGCACTCAACTTCATTTTTTCTTTAGGCATTTGGAATGAATTGGAATAAAAACAAATATTTTTAATAGCACCACCCCCAAAAAGACTCCATCCAGCAATTAACAGCTTTATTTTTATTTTTTTATTTTTATTTTTTATTTTTTTTTTTAGTTTTTATTTATTTATTTGAGAGGGAGAGAGAGAGAGCATGAGAGGTGGGAGGGTCAGAGAGAAAAGCGGACTCCTCCTTGAGCAGAGAGCCTGATGGGGGATTGGATCTTAGGATTCCAGGATCATGACCTGAGCAGAAGGCAGTCGCCCAACCAACTGAGCCACCCAGGTGCCCTAGAAAATATATTTAAAAATGTATTGCAGGTGAGCTGCCAGCCTCTTCCCCGGGAAGAAGTCAATGAAATCCATGACGACTGCAAACGCATGGGGCTTCTAATTGGCCGAGGTGGCATTTTTGCCCAGGTAAGAGAAAGGCTGGTCTTTCCCTGTGTCTTTCGGTAGGCGTCTCCCTGACGTCCCAGCGCTGGTCTCTTTCCTTCTCGACCCAGCCCCACTTCCTCTGGGCATAATGCTCAGATCTTTTCCTGAAAAAGGTGCAGTGAGGCCTGAAGACCACGCGGGGGCGCTGTGTTCCAATTGTTTAGTTAACGGGGCTCTAGGAGGACCGTCTAACAAAAACCTAACAAGAGATATACAACCAAAAAAAATAAATAAATATAAATAAATAAATAAATAAATAAATAAATAAATAAATAAAGAGATATACAACCAACCAGAGGATTTACAGTACAGGTCCCAGTGGAGTCATCACAATCATGCAGTGACTAATTTCTCTCATGTATGAATTAATTCTAACCCTGTGAAAGCAATTCCAGTCGGGAGGAACCTAACAGTGCTGGCCGACCCAGGTGACCCTTCAGGAGAGGTGGGAGACCACCCTGGCTGGGTCCCTAATGTGAACCCAAAATCAGCCACTCCCAGCGCCCTTCACCCATGCAGAGTCCAGCTCTCCCTGCTCCCTCTTGGAAAGGCCAGGGATAGCCCCAGCAGGTGTGGTCCTGGGGCAGCTCTGCACCGTGGGTGCTGTGGGTGAGCGCTGATCCTGCTAGGAAAACCCTCTCCCCAGATCTCTCACACCAGCAGGACCCTCCCCCTGAAGTGGTTCCAGGGCAGACATGTAAGATTTAGGGTAGCTTCTGCTCCTCCTCTAATTTGTTCTTGTCCCTTGTCATCTTTCTGTCCCGTTTTAAATGTTGGTCCTTCTTCCTGGTTTTCCTGCTCCCTTCTTGCCCCACATTCTAGTTGAGTGAACGCGCTTGCCTCCTACTTCTCGGAGAACACAGAAGCTCTTAAATAAGATCTCTATGTAAACTCATCTGTTCCCCACATCCGTTTCTTACTTCCTTTCCTGAAGATTCAGGGAATGAGGTGTCTCTCCTGTCAGATCTGGATTGACGATCTTAACTCCCGACACTTTCTACCTTTGTTCAAGGGGACATCACTGTGTTCTCTTGTATCTGTAACTTTTCCTCAACCTCCCCTCACCCTGTTAAGAAATAAGCTTAAAGCTCTCCCACCCAAACCAAACCACCTCAAACAAAATCAGAATGAGCACTTTTGGTGGGACATCCTCGAGGAGTTATTTCTAGTCCCAGTCACAAATATTTTTTCTCTACAAATTAATGATTAAAAATCCTATAACTTATAAAAACATGAAACAATTGTTTACTTACTTAGTTATTTCTTAGTTATCTGGAAAATATTCAAACGCAAGGCAGCATTTGCTATGCTAGAACTAATGTGACAATGATAAGATCCAGTCCCTCCCTTCTCAGAACTGGCAGGAGAGAAAGACATATAAACAGCCAATTAGAATACAATGTAGCAAGCTCGTCTACAGCTATAATAAAGGGGTATCACAGGAGGAAAGACAAGGGACTCCTGGTCCAGATTTTCTAACCAGGCTGAGCCTTACACAATGAAATAAACACCTAAAGCTTGGGTAGGAATGTTGCAGAGTGTGAAGAGCTACACGCTCACCAGTGTGGCTGAGGCATAAGGCTTGAGGCACTGAGTGGAATAATACAAAACCTTAATGCTGGTCAGGCACTGTTATAAACATTTTGCATTGACTCATTTAATCCTTTCAACAAGCCTATGAAAAAAATACTGCTATTGTTCCAATTTTACAGATGAAGAAAAAGAGGCACAGAGTGGTTACATAAATTGTTCAAGTCACACAGCTAGAGTTAGTGGCAGAACCAGGATCCAAGCTCAGGCAGCCTGATTTCTGAGTCTGTCCTCTGGGAAGAACAAACCTAAGGGGCCAAGACAGGGAGCAGTGAGTGGGTGGGTGGGGTGGCTGACGGTGCTGTTTGAACCCACTCCACAGTGTTGGGATTAAGGGGACATTCAGAAAACAACTCCAGGAGTGTGGAGTGTACAGACTGGGATGCGAAGCATGAGGGAGAGTCGAGGATCAAGCCTCATGTCTAACTTGGTTGAGACATGGCCAGGATGAATGCTGCTTTGAACATGCTCGGGCTAAGGAGTTTATGGACATCTGTTTCTGCAGACAAGTTGGTAGCTCAGAGGAGAGAATTGGGGCCAAGTCACGATTTTTTGAGTTGTCAGCCTCTCAGTGGTGAGAGGAGGAAGTCTAGGAGGTTGCGGGGGAGTCTTCATGGGAAACGCAGTGAGAGCAGGACACACACTTTGGGGGGCACCAGTGTTTACAGGACCGGTGGGAGGCAAGGTGCCCAGATGGAGGAAATGCAAGGGCAGAGGTGCCCGGAGAGTTAGCAAGCCCAAGAGACATGAGGTGGGAGGGAGGGGGCAAAGCTCAAGGGGAGAGAGGGACCCAGGTGACCCAGACAGTGTCCCTGCGGGGAGGGTGAGGACTGAAAAATGCCTACCACCCAGGCTCCCCACTGGCGGCTGTGGTGAGAGTGGCGTCAGAAGGCTGATGGAGCAGAGCCAACCGGGGCTGCCCTGGGTTGGGATGCAAAGAGATGAGGGCAGAGTGAACAGTAATGGCCAATAAGCCCCAACGCCTCTTTTGAGTCAGTTTGGGCAAAAGGAGACAATAGCATTTGTATAATGGCTAGAAGGGGGGGAGGCAACAGCTTTTTGTTTGGTGTGGTTTGAATTTGGGCTGGCAGACCTGTAAGTCTCCTTGTTTGCAGGCTGAGTTTGGGGAAGAGGGGAGAGGGGGTGCGGAGTCACAGCGATCAGGAAACTGAGAAGCAAGTTTGTAGGGTTGTATACCCAGACGTGGAGGCCAGCCTCAACACTCGCAGAAATGAGGTGTAGCTAAGGTGTCCGAGACCTCAGTGAAGGTGGTGGAAAGACCAGGAGGTGAGCAGATGGCAATAAAGGAAGAGGGGCAGAGCCAGATGTCACCAGAATTGTTAGGCTAGAAGGGAAATGGCCTGGGTGCAGCATTGGTGAGGGAGGAGACCAACCCAGGAGGGAAATACAAGACATGTCATAAAAATAAAGTAAGAGTCTTAGCTTAGTGCATTTTCTCAAAGCAATATTTGATTCTATGATGATCTGTTGCTGTTTCCCTTTGTCTCCTCAGACATTCCGCATCGCGCCCTCCATGTGCATCACTAAACCAGATGTTCATTTTGCAGTGGAAGTATTTCGGTCTGCCTTAATCCAACACATGGAGAGAAGAGCTAAATAAAACTTTTAAAAATAAAATCCATAAGCTTCAAGAACTTTCCACTTCTGTTCAAGGGTTAATTTAAGGAATTCCATTAGATAATTGGTGTAAGTTGTATAGGACATGGTTGACTGCCCACCAGCCAAATGTGTTACCAGAGCCTCCATTATCTTGAGAAACCCATCCTCCAAGAAAAGATCTAAACTAACTAACTCAGAGAATAAATCCTAATTATTCTAGGTTGGTTATGGTCATTTAGTTCCCCTTGCCAGTGATTGGTTGATGCATCACGTGTGACAATACTTGGGGACAACGAATCCTGAAAGAAAATATTTTGGTGGAGATGCCTTAAGGTGAAGGTTTGTTTACTCTTCATTCTTCATCACCAGAAGACATGTCTTCTTGCTCAAACTATGTCAGCCATTTTGAGACCATGAAGACAAAGCTTCTTTGCTGGGGTTGGAAGTAGAAGGAAGCTGAGTCCTTAGTAAGGTCAATGAGCCTCTGACTTAACCAATCCTAGATTCTTACCTTGGAGCCTCTTGTTATATGAGATAATAAACTCTGTGCATTACACAGCCTTTTTGATTGAAAATTATTATCTGTGGTTGCAGCCATAAGCCTCCTAAGAAATGATGCAGAAAATACCCCAGGTAGATAACTGTCCCCTTCTTTTTTAACTCCCTTAAAATACCCATCAGAGCCTTCTTCTCGATTTCCGCTTCCATCATCTCACCTGGAACTAAATTCTCATTACTCCTATTGCAATAGCCTCCAAGACTAGAATTTTCCAAACTTTAGTCATTAGAATGCACATTCCTAGTGTTTTTTCCCGTATGGATACACCACCCGTCTTAGAATTGACTTAACATTTTTCCTTAGTTTAACTTGTTTCACTTAGATGTATTTGATGGTAACCTTTCTATAACAGTAAGAAATGGGAAATCAGTACTTTTTGTCATACTGGAAAGTACTCATACAAATAAAATGAATGCAAAGCAACGTGATTTATTTCTAGCGAGACAACATTGCTTGTAGAAGTTCCCAGTCTGAGGCTTGTTCTCTCTTTGTTCAAAAGGAGATTAGAGAGTATTTGAAGGGTGTCAAAAACTACCAGCAAACTGATACCCTCTCCTAAACACTAACAGAAGAGGGTCCACAGAATTGAAAGGGAAACAACTTTCTCAGAATGCAGTTAGATGTTTATTTGAACTGTGTCCAGTTTGATGTCATGTTCCTGTGGCCTACCCCCTGGGGTTTCTGTTCCACTAACATATCCTACACCTCACTGCCAAATCTGTCTCCCGGGGATATCGACTTAAATATGGCATTCCCTTGTACAAAACCTTCCAGTTGCTCCCCACTGCACCCTGGATAAGATCAAAACCCCTTTGGGGTGCCTGGGTGGCTCAGTGGGTTAAAGCCTCTGCCTTCGGCTCAGGTCATGATCCCAGGATCCTGGGATCAAGCCCCACATCGGGCTCTCTGCTGAATGGGGAACCTACTTCCTCCTCTCTCTCTGCCTGCCTCTCTGCCTACTTGTGATCTCTGTCAAATAAATAAATAAAATCTTTTAAAAAAATAAAAATACAAATAAAAGATCAAAACCCCTTTGACAAGGAGCTCCATGCCCTCCTGTATCCAGTTTCCAAACAGAGCAAACATTTCTGAAGTACTCTGTTTTGACAAGTGGAAAGATCATTGAATTGAGAGCCAAATGATCTGAATTCTAAGCTCAGTTCTTCCACCAGTTATTTGCTCTAGATGACGATGGGTGAGCCTTCTAACCAATTTTTAAACCTCATTTTGTTCCCAGGCTTATCGATACTTGCCCTTCCTACATCCTGAGTTGTGTTGGGAATCAAGTAAGCTACTGAATGTAAAAGCACTTTGAACTATGCAAATAGAAATTCTTCCCTTCAAGCTCCATTTCTCTTCTTCCCTTTACTACAAAAACTCCTAAGGACAGTTTTTTGTGCTTCAGTGATCCTTCCTTGCTTCCTGCCCATGTCTCAACAACTAGAATTTTCACTGCCACCTCTCATTCCTTGGAAACTATCTTGTCAAAAGGCCATCGGTGACTTCCTCGTGGCCAAAATTTAATGTTTCCTTTAAATGTTCTTCTTTTTTCCTTTTACTTAATTATTTGAGAGAGAGAGAGAAAGCACAAATAGGGGAAACCATAGAAAGAGAGGGAGAAGCAAGCTCGCCACTGAGCAGGGAGCCGGAAGTAGGGCTCCATTTAAGAACCCTGGGATCATGACCTGAACCGAAGGCAGACTCTTGATCAATTACACCACCCAGGCATCCCTGAATGTTCTTTCTAAACAACTGCTCCTTCTTGAATACAATTTTCTTGGCTTCTACAGTATGGTCCTTCTAACTCGGATGGCTCCCCCTAAATCTCCTTCCTGGCAACTCTTCCACTACAAGGTTCTGTCCTGGGTCTGTCCTGGGCCATCACTTCCTCCATGATATACTCTCTCCTCTAAGTAGAATAGGTAATTTCCCAGGACAAGGAATTTCACCTGTCCTGACTATGCTGATGATGTCCAAATATTCATCTTCCGTCTCCTCCTTTATTCTGAGCCCCAACCCCAAGATTCTAGCTGTCTAGACACCTTCATGTGGATGTCACAAGGACACTTCAAATTCAGCATTTCTGACATAAAACACACTGAATATCTCTCCTCCAAGGAACTCCTTCTGGATTAGTGATACCTTTTGGTGTTGGCCTCAAAACTTAGGGCATTATTTTCTTTCAAGTTATCTTTTTGCCCTTCATATGACTAAGTCTCATGAATATGTTCTCCAACATAGTTTTTCTTAGCCAATACTAGATTGGTTATATGTCCATTTATACTGAAACTGCCTTGATTTGGACCACCATTCTCTCTTCTAAACAATTTAAACTACCTCCTAACTGGTATTCTGGACTCCTTCCCAATCCATTCTCTGCACTGATACCAGAACCACCTGTTTGAGCAATAAATATGATCACATCTCTCATCTCCTGAAGACTTTGAGGGTTCCCTATTGTCCATGGAACAAAGTCCAAACTCCCAACTATTATGACATTCAAGGGCCCTCACAATTTGCCCCCAAACCACCTTTTTGAGCTTTACTCTTGCTGTTCCTTCCATGTTACGCACATAGGTTCTTTGATCCTGTAGTTCCCTCTACCTGGAATGTTATTCCTCTCTTCCTTGTCCAAGGAAATTATGGGGTCAGAGGGATTGGACAAAGAAACCAAGACTTACTTCTTTGTTCTTCTTCAAAGCCTTCTCATTTTCAATACTCATTTTCTTTAAAAATAAAGTAAAAGGGAAGAACACTGAAAATAAAGTTTATGATAACCATTTGGGAATTTAGCAAAACGTGCAGAGGAAACAATAAAACACAAATTTAAATAAAACCAAAGCAAAACAAAATGTTTCCATACTCTAGTCCAGGTCCCTGCCAATGCTAGGACATCATCTCCTGGAAGAAATGGGCTAAAGGAATTTAGTGGTTCAGATAAATTCCTAAAACATATTCCCTGTGGCTTCCAGAGTCTTACAGGATCCTGCGTATGCCTAACGGTGCACTTTACTCTCTCACCTCCAGGGGTCCCTCTAGAGTAAAATCCGGCAATGGAATTCTGCCCGGTAAGGGGGTCCCGGGCCTCATTCCCTGACTATGACGGTTGCGTGGCTCTGAGTGCCTATTGGTGGGGAGAAGCTGCTCCTCTTTCTTGAAGAGTATCTGGGGACTTAAGATGCACAAGCCATCAGAGGCATGGGGCAGAAAGGGCAAAAATTATGGCCTCCGAGGCTGGATGGTCATTCACTGCTCTAACGAGTTTATAGACATGACGGATTCCTATTTCTTTCCATTTGGAGCCGTGGGCGGGAGCTTCGCACCCCCATTTCCCCCCTTCCATTTTCTGCTCTACCCACAGGAGGTGGGAGGTAAGCCAGCTTACATAAGGCAAGGAGCCCACATTCGTGCCAAGCTCTTTTTTATTTCCTTCCTTGTGAAAATGGTCTAGAGTGAAGGTAATGAACACTCAGCTCCAGTAAACTTTTTTCCACACAAGGAACATATCGACAGTTCATCATGTGATTAGAATAAAACAGTAAAATGTTCACAGCTCTTTAAACATTCAAATGCCAATCCACACAGGAGGGAGTAATTAAAATTAAAAAAAAAACAAAAAACAAGGACCCCATCAAATCAATCTTTGGTTATACCATTATTAATGGTTATAAAGAGATGCAAAATAACACTATAAAGAGATAACAGAATAGTAAACTATGCTCTTATTTGTTTTATAAAACTCCATTGTTTTATATCAGTGTAGTTTTTGACTTTCGGCTAATTCAAGCTACCCTCAGAAGGTATCTCTAAACTATGGGGGGACTTAGTTCTTCTACCTTTTGAATCCCACTTAAATCTTCCCTTTCTTATAAAGAAACATGAAAGAATAATAAAAAAAAAATCACAACATTTGCCACTCAGTCATCAGAATGCCAACCCCAGAGCATCATTGTCATGGGCAGAGCAGATAGAAGGCTGCGGAGCCGGCGTCAGCCCATCGCTCTGGGCTCATTAAAGCTGAAAGCTCCCTTCCTACTGGGCACAAGCAGTAGAAACAGGTCATAGCTTTGCCCCATTAAAAATGGGCACAGCAGAATACAACTCCACAAAGTATCTCAACAAAAACAAAGGGTCCTCCTTGTTCAGTAAGAGCGAAGGTGCAGAAACAAAGGCTTCTTTGTACCAGTCCAGACGCAGGAAGTGTTTGGTGAAACGCAACGTGTCATGCTAGCGTCCATGATGAAGGAGCAGCCGCACAAAGAGATGTCAAGAACACAATCTAATTAAGAACTGGGCGGGGAGGGTCACTGCAGATGGCAGCTCGGGCAAACACGAACTTTTAATTAGTCGGAGCAACACGATGCAAGGGAGTGAGCCTGCACCCTCTCCCCATTTGATTTATTTCCAGCAAATTCCCCTTCCTGTGCCGAAGCTTCCCCTGTCCAGAGAATAATAGGACCTTGTGGGACCCGTGTGAGGATTAAATAAGACAATACACAGACAGCTGCTCAATTCATGTTAACTCTTTCCTTGGCGTCCCTTGCCTTTTGACACAGAACTGCCTTGGTCCGTGCTGGGCCTCACCACCTCGGGCTAACGTTTATTCTCCCATATGCAACTCTTCTCCCTACTCGGACTTGACGCTACTGGTAGGTGAC